CCATCGCATGCCCGATATTGTTCCCACCCTTCGGGTTGACTATCGTATCACTAGTTAGAGCTCCCTTAGGGGAGTATTCAAGGATGGTGAAATTTGGCCTAGATGAACCTCCAAGTTTCTGATTGAGGTATTGTCGGATGCCAACTGAGCATCAGAGTCAGCATTCATTTTCATCATCTGTTCAAACATCATTTCAATTCTCCCCATGTCATTGTTGGATGAACTAGGACCTTGGGATGGGAATGGGGGTGGATTGATCGGTTGTTGATACATTGGGGGCCTTTGAAAGCCTTTCCCCCGATTTCCCTGATTGTTATTGTTCCAACCATCCTGATTATTGTTTCCACCCCAGTTGTTGTTATTGTTACCCCAGTTACCCTGATTGTTCTGATTGTTGTTCTGGTGGCCCCTATTAGGATGTTGGTTGTTGTTCCCCCAATTATTGTTCCCTTGTTGTTGATTTCCCCAATTACCTTGGGATCTCCCTTGGTTCTGTTGGCCCCCTTTGTCTTCTTTTGTTCACTAGCATATTGACACCCTCCATAGCATTTACTTGTCGAGGAGCTTGAACCTGCTGTAATTATGCCTTTGCTAACTGGTTCATTGTTGTTGTAAGCTATGCTATTGCCTGTCCATGATCATGAAGCTTCTTGTGCAAGTGAATGACCGTGGGGTCACCCTGTGGCACATTTGCTCTGCTTTGCCAAGCGGAAGAAGTGTCCGCCATCTCATCCAATATCTCACACGCTTGATCATACGGTGTGTTCATGAAGTTGCCCCCGGCGAGTTGGTTCACTATGCACTGGATAGTGGTGTTAATGCCCTGGTAGAAAGTCTGTTGTATCATTGCCTCAGTCATATCATTGTTGGGACACTCCTTTACCATAATCCGGTACCTCTCCCAAATTTCATGCAATGGTTCGTTGGGCTCCTGTTTGAAGTAAGATTTCATCCCTCAAAGTTTCCATGTGCCCCAGCGAGAAAAATTTTGCAATGAATTTGTCCGCCAACTCATCCCATCTATGGATGGAGTGGTTGGGGAGTCTCTCCAGCCAATCTAATGCCTCCCCTCGAAGAGAGAAAGGGATAAGTCTCAACCGCAAGGCATCCTCTGACACGTTCGTTTGCTTGCTCCCCCAACATGTATCAGCAAAACCCTTAAGGTGCTTGTAAGCATTTTGATCGGGAGCACCCGTGAAATATCCCCGCTGCTCCAACAAGGTGAGCATGACGTTGGTAATTTGAAAATTGCCCGCCCTAATCTGGGGTGGGACAATTGCACTGGCATATCCTTGGTTGGGAAGCACCCGAGGGGCCACTCTTGGAGGTGGCGGGGGAGGGTCTGGAACATTATCATTGGCATTGGCCTGGCGGCCTCTCCTTTGTCCTTGAGGTACAAGAGGCACCTCATCTTCACCGATGTCATCAACCTCCTCCCCCGGAACCACGTTTCCAAGAAGGTCATTGTTGTTGTTTGCCGCCATATTGTACCTGAATTGGCGTCACACACAAGTTAGTATCACAGAAGGAAAGAAAAACAATACACAAAACTATTTAGATAGATAGCCAAAACCGTTAGCTTCCCCGGCAACGGTGCCAAAAAATGATCAGGGCCAATCCTGCACCACAACGGAGTGGCGAGAGCGGTCGATGCAGCTTTTACCTGAAAAGGGCGGGATCGAATCCACATGCAGCTAGAATTGGGAATTGGATTCCTATCTAAACTAGCAATGTGTAATGCTCTTAATTATGCTTCCAACCATAATTGTTTGCTTTTTACTTCTAATATTATACTATTGCGATGCTAAAATAAACTAAGAATAATTGCTTGAAAGGTTTTCTAATAGGTAACGAGGCACTAGGGAAGTGACTTCCCTCTAGGTGAATACTTGACGGGATTTAGAGTCTAAGGCAAAGTTGTTATGTTTGGGATCGCTATATAGCCAATGCACGACGCTACTCACTCTATACCCCTCGGTAGTTTGAGTGACTTTGCCCAAATTGACTTTCTCAAGAACAATTGGGTGTCGAAATTATACAAGCAATGTAGGTTCAAGTCGGGTATTACTATCTCTAGATTTAACCCTTTAATTGGGGCTATCAATCTCTTGAATATGCCCCAATTCCTTGTTGGACTGATTACCTAGACTCAGCCTCTCTTTCTCAAGAAGAGCTCAAGTCAAATAGGCACAAATTAGTCTTTGCAACCACTAATCCAATATAAAAAGCACAAATCGGTCCAAATATCAACCACCCATAAACATCTAAGCCTTAAAACACAAGACCCATCAAATTCTCACACTAGGGTTGAGCCACAACCCTAGCTAATGGGTCTAGCTACTCATAATAATGGAAGAAACATATAATTAGATGAAGAATAACCCATATAATATGTTTACAAGCTAAGAATTAAAGATTCAATGTTGAACTAGCCACAAAATTACTCAAAATTGGTACCCTAAAAATCTGAAAAAGAACTATTTATACAAGGCCGAATTTTCTGGACAAATATACCCCTGCGGAGGTACCGCGGACAACGGAAAATGCACCGCGGCTGCGGTGAGGCTTTTTCGCTTGATTTTTAGGTCTCTGAATCTGTCCACCACGGATCGCGGAAAATGCACCGCGGCCGCCGTGGCTTCACTGCGGTCCGTACAAAATGGGTTGCGGCCGCAGTGGCTTCCAACTTCTAAATTCTCAACTCTCTGAATCTCTTTACCGTAGACAGCATAAAATGGATTGCGGCTGCGGTGAGGCTACTGCGATCCGCACAAAATGCTTTGCGGCCGTAGTGCTTGAGCTTCCAAAAACTGCACCTCTCTGAATCTCCTCACCGCGGACCACACTAAATGGATTGCGGCCGCGGTAGGTCTGTTGTAGCTGTGTTTTGACTTGTTCTTGGTACTTGTGCAGGTTTCACTCCTTTTTGAGCTGATTTTTGGCCTCTTGTCACTTTCCTGACCAAACCCTGCAAAGAAGTACAACATGTAAGCCTTTGGGACTATTTGTATGCGTTTTTAATCAAAACTCAAGTAAAAAGGAGTGTAAAATGAACTAGAATCCCTAGTTATCACTCCTATGAACCTAGAACTCTGATACCAACTTGTCACACCCGTGTTCGCCCTCCGTGAACTGTCGTGACAGGACCTAGGTTCTACGACTAGGTAAGCCTAACAAATTGCGGAAAAAAGAAACAAAATACAAAACTAGCAAGAACTGCGGTTAAACATAAATAAAACGTTTTAGATGCCGCTCGGCATATACAAATGCACACTCTCAAAACTGAATTAACTCCCAAAACCCGGAATCTCATGAAATCACAAGTTGTAGGTACTACATAATGTTCTAACTCTAGAATGTCTAATCAAAAGAAAGTACAAAAGGTCTATAGCTAAAAGGAAGAATAGAGAGGGACTCCTCGGTTTGCGGACGCGGTAGATATACCTCGAAGTCTCTGAAGATCGCCCCGCCTCACTGATAGTATGGATGAGTCGAAGAAGCTGGATCTGCAAACGAAAAACATGTGCAGGAAAGGGCATGAGTACACCACAGCGGTACCCATTAAGTGCCAAGCCTAACCTCGTTCGAGTAGTGACGAGGAAGGTCAAGGCCCTACTCGTTCGAGGTGAGTAATGATTTTAAATGATGTTCTGAGGGTTTGAAACCCCGGATTTGCACAACTTGGTGCTATGTTGAGTTGAGACACACGTTCCATGACGAGCGCGGGGTCATTTACCATCGGGGACTGTGACTTGGTCCAGTCCGGATAATATTTTACCGCGTATTAGTAATGACTTGTCGTTTTCACTATGATTTGGGCTTATTGCCATATTTGGGGCTTATTGCCGACTGTTTGAACTCTTTACGGACTATCATCACTGTTTTCCTCACTGTTTGAAATATTATTTGAACTCAGTCCATGTGATTTACACTGTTTCTCAAACTCAGCCATATTTACTCAAACTTGGAGTCTTAAACTGATATTTGAACTATTGTTTGAGCTGGGTATTATTGCTTTACTGTTGCCCGAGGGGCTGTTGACTATTTCTGGACTGATTGAGGCCGAGGGCCTTATGTAAGGGCATGGTGAGAGAGGTGAGGAGGCTTTCAGGCCTCGTATCGATATTGTTCAGGCTTTCAGGCCTTGTTGATAGCGCTTGGGCTGTAGGAGCCCCTCCGGAGTCTGCACACCCACAGTGAGCGCGGGTACCCATCTAGAGTGATTTAATATTGAACAGTGGTAACAATGTGTTACACCCCATATTTTCGTACGTAAGAGTACGTCATAAGTCAATTAATGTAAGCTCAGAAATGGAATCATCTTTGAAAAGTTTACAAAGTTAGTTCATCATGTTAACATGGAGGTTACAAATATTTAAGATCATTAATACCAAGTAGCAAGAGGGTTTGAAGGCTTAGAAGCTAAACGAATTGAAGAAAATAAGTTTCGTCGAAAGTCGACAAGTTGGAATGTTTTACAATGTACTTTTTGGGTGAGACTAGGGTTATTAACATTATAAGGAGATTATATTATGAGTTATTTTAGTCGTATGATAGTTGGTGTTACGTTTTGAAGTCAAGCGAGTTGTGGAACAAAAGTTGGAAAAGGTCATCACAAGTTCCATTTATAAATGTGCTAAACATTAGGTCAAAAGTAGTGGAGCTTTTCTTCCAATATACTTGGAATTACAAGATGATCCACATATCAAATTGAAAATCTACGAGTCTAATTTCTAACTCATTAAACGGTTTGTCGATACGATATCGGGGTAGAGAGATATTTGCAATTTTGCAAGACTACACAGACTGCATAGTTGGCAAGTAGGTGTGTCACTAAAGCTTTTTGAGCAATACATTTCGTGTGTTATATGAGGTCTTTTTGGGACATATTATATATCGAATTGAAGGTCTTGGAATCTAGTTTCCAACACTCTTAACCGTTCGTTCATACGATATCCGGATAAAAAGATATAAGTATTTGAAAAAGGGCCAATGAGATGGTGCCAAGTAGCACCTTTTGACTTTTCAACCAAAATGGATATTTATCTTCCTATGTCGTCTCTTTCTTCATAATTCCAGAGAGCTCGACCAAATAAGACCCCTAACCTCACCCTTAAGCTGTCCACAAGGTTATCCAACAAGATTACCGTCCGAGGCACAAAATCACGAAGCAATAACACTAGAACGATCCCCATGACGTAAGTATCGCTATATTGCTTCTCTTTTTCTTTGTAGTTGGAGTTTTGGAAGGTATTTAATAGTTAAGAAAAAGCCTTCTTTCTGTATTTAAGCTTTTAAATATGAAGGAATGTTGATAAATTCATTTCCTAATAGCTAGAACTCACGGGACGGTGATTGGAAGCCGTGAGTTCGAATTATTCAACTTGTTGTGGGCTGTTTTTGGGTTGTTTCGTGTTGCTTTTGGGCTGTATATTTTGCTTCTACTTAATGGAATTTTTGGAGGAGAAATGGTGTGGAGAAACACCAAATAATGGAGAAATGGTGGATTTCGACTTGAATCCACAGTAGGAGGTAATTATATTGTGTTATTGATTCTTCATAAGATTATCTTAACATTGATTAAGTTAAACGGATGGACTAGACATGAACTAGTGAATAAAATTTCTAATTGAGGATAATTGGAGTTGTGGATTGTTTTCTTTGTTATAAATATATGGTATAAGGCTTGAATCATTGATGAATGAATTTATTATCATGTTAATGTTACTATTAAGATAAAGTAAGAAGCCTATAAGGGGTGATATGAGGTACATGGATTCCAATTGGAGCTTGCCGCTCGTCGTGAAGTAGTTGTGACTTGTTGTTATTTTATGGTGTCTTGTTATTGATAACTATGTATTGCTGGATTTCTCTGGTCATTGTTGTTGTTATATGGTACTGGAGGAGGCTCTTGTTACAGGGGAGATGCTGCCCAAATTTATATAAATGAGCTACTAGCTTAAGTTGCAGACATAGCCTTTACTCAACACTAATTTTGAATCTCCTTATGCTATGATAGATTGGGTTGAGTTATTCGAAGAATTACTTGGAAGGTATTAAGGACTCAATGGAGTTAAGGTATGTTAAGGTAATCCCTTCTTTATTTTGGCATGATCTAAAGTGAAACGAATACGCTAATCATAACGGATCTACTCCTAGCAACTAAGGTTGTCCATGTTGATCTTTCCTTATAAAATTATTCTAACCAAGTGTGTATGATCCTTGAATCCTACTAAGGTTCATATTGAGGGTATGGATGTCCATAATGTTCTTAAGTTACTCCGAAAGGTTTAGAACGTCAGTCCATGAGTCGAGCATGCATTATATATATGTATCTATTTTACTCTATCGAGCCGCGCTATAGACGGCCGGATATGGCACCTATTGTGCAACCACTGATCAGTTGGGTTTACCGAGCTCCACGTGGCTGGGTACGATTCTACCGAGCCTTATGATGGCCGGGTATGTTTTTACCGAGTCCTCTTTGAGGCCGGGTACGATATGATGATGATGATGCCCGCAGAGGCGTATGTTTTCAAAAGTTTATGTATATATATGTATTATGCATTTCATGTCAGTAGCCCCCAGAGGCACTCAGATGTTACAGGTTGTATCTTCTCTATCACTCTTTACATTACTGTTCTTGTTTATGCTTTCCTGCCTTACATACTCGGTACTTTATTCGTACTGACGTCCCTTTTGCCTGGGGACGCTGCGTTTCATGCTCGCAGGTCCCGATTGATAGGTTCACAGTCCTCTTATTAGTCTATCAGCTCAGCGAAGGTGTTGGCGTACTCCACTTGCTCCGGAGTTGCCTATTTGGTCAGTATGCTTTGGATATGTATTGATTAGTATAGCGGGGCCCTGTCCTGACCTTTATGATTTTATGTACTCTTAGAGGCTTGTAGACATGTGTCAGGTGTATGGATATTTGTATGGCCTTGTCGGCCTATGTTTTGAGTTTACAAATGGTCATGTCGGCCTTATAGGCCCGTATGTCTTATGTATAAGTTTGTATATCATGTTGCGTCATCATATGTTGAGTATTCCCTTATGTTTTATTCTTGTTATCTCATGACGGGTTTACTGGCTCATTTACTCATGATAGTATGATAAGAAAGATATGTTACGTATGTACTCGGTTGAGTAAGGCACCGGGTGCCCATCGCGGCCCTTCGGTTTGGGTCGTGACATCAGCAGTCAGGAGCCCACCTGAAGAACAGAGGAATACATTTCAAGTTTTAGCAGTCAGGAGCCCGCCTGAAGAACAGAGGGAGTACAATTCAAGTTTTAGCTTTCAAATTCTTATTAATATTTGGTAATATGATGCCCAGCTATCAAACTGTGCAGAAAATTTTCTTTGTTTTGTCTATTTTGTTGAAGTCAGGAGCCCGCCTAGCAGTCAGGAGCCCGCCTGGAGAACAGAGGAATACATTCAAGTTTTAGCAGTCAGGAGCCCGCCTAGAGAACAGAGGAATACATTTCAAGTTAGTAGTCAGGAGCCCGCCTGGAGAACAGAGGAATACATCCAAGTTCTAGCAGTCAGGAGCCCGCCTGGAGAAAGAAGGAATACATTCAAGTTTTACCAGTCAGGAGCCCGCCTGGAGAACAGAGGAATACATTCAAGTTTTAGCAGTCAAGAGCCTGCCTGGAGAACAGAGGAATACATTTCAAGTCAGCAGTCAGGAGCCCGCCTGAAGAACAGAGGAATACATTTCAAGTTTTAGCAGTCAGGAGCCCGCCTGAAGAACAGAGGGAGTACAATTCAAGTTTTAGCTTTCAAATTCTTATTAATGTCTGGTAATATGATGCCCAGCCACCAAACTGGGGCAGAAAATTTTCTTTGTTTTGTCTATTGTGTTGAAGTCAGGAGCCCGCCTAAAGAACAGAGGAATACATTCAAGTTTTAGCAGTCAGGAGCCCGCCTGAAAAATAGAGGAATACATTTCAAGTCAGCAATCAGGAGCCCGCCTGAGGAACAGAGGGATACATTTCAAGTTTTAGCTGTCAGGAGCTCTCCTGAAGAACAGAGGGAGTACAATTCAAGTTTTAGCTTTCAAATTTTTATTAATGTCTGGTAATATGATGCCCAGCCACCAAACTGGGGCAGAAAATTTCCTTTGTTTTGTCTATTTTGTTGAAGTCAGGAGCCCGCCTGAAGAACAGAGGAATACATTTCAAGTCAGCAGTCATTAGCCCGCTTGAAGAACAGAGGAATACATTCATGTTTTAGCAGTCAGGAGCCCGCCTGAAGAACAGAGGAATACATTTCAAGTCAGCAGTCAGGAGCCCGCCTGAAGAACAGAGGAATACATTTCAAGTCAGCCGTCAGGAGCCCACCTGAAGAACAGATGAATACATTCAAGTCAGCAGTCAGGAGCCCGCCTGGAGAGCATGGGAATACATTTCAAGTTTAGCAGTTAGGAGGCCTGCCTGGAGAGCAGGGGATACATTCAAGTTCAGCAGTCAGGTATCACCTGGAAAAAGGGCAAACATCTCAGATCACAATTCAAGGCGGCAACGAAGGTTATCATCGGAAGAATACAATTCAGCAAGGCAACAAGAACCACGAGAGCAAGTTTGAAGATATAGATAGGATTTTTGTAAAGCATAGATCATAGTCTAGTCTAGCTTCTTTTTACTTTTTGACATGGTGTAATAAGGGGGTCAGCAAGCAGTAGCAGCAGCATCAGCAGTGAAATCACAGCTCCCAGTAGTCCCAGCTACAAAAACTTCCAGAACTACACTCACCTGATTCTTTTACAGCCAAGGATATGTAGGCAACCTCTTAAGCAAGGTTCGGTCGAACATTTTTCAAAAATGCTTCTCATGGAGTGCCAAGCGGGCAAAAATCCCTCATAATTGCTCACTTATCTTTGCGTGAAAACTCTTCGTGTTTCCGATAAAGAGGGGCAGCTGTGAGCACGTGATTTTTGCCTCGCATGATTTACTCCTACAGAATTCTTAGATTTAGGATTTTTCTTTTATTTAATTTTTAGGAATTAATTGCATAATTTCCATATTTATTTGCATTTCTGTGTGCATTTTTAATTTAGCATAAATTCATAAAAATACAAAAATACGCATTGCATTTAGGATTTAATTTTACATATTTTTTTAATTAATGAGTAATTAGTATTTTTAAAAAAAAATACAAAAATCACAAAAAATAGTTTATTGTTGCACTTTTAATTTTAGTTTGGAATTTTTGGTAATTTTCTTTAATTTAGGTTTTCATCAGTTGTGGTAATTATTAGTTAAATAATACAATGTGGTAGGGTAATTGTATTTAGGAATTAGTTTAGATTTTTATTTTAATTTTTTTTGCTTTAATTTGAAAAGAAAAGAAAAAGAAAAAGAAATAATTGAAAAAGAAAAAGAATTAAAAGAAAAGGGAGTATCTCTAATGAAATGCCCAAGTTGGGCTGGCCCAAATCCACCCAAAACCCGCCAAACCGCCCCAAATTAGCCCAAACTCGCCCAGAACCCGGTCCGAACCCCCCTTCCTCCAAAACGACCCCGTTTCTTGTCCGTAAATCCCAGCCCTTGATTTCCCGTGATCCAACGGACAGGAACTGGGGGTCACATTAATATAAGAGTGTCGGATTAGACCCCCCCCCCCCCCCTTTTTCGAACTCGTCTCTCTCACTTACCCACTTCAGAGACTTCAATTCTAACCCTAGATTGCCGCCCTGAATTCCACCATCACCCGCCGGCGGCGCCAATGCCATTCACCACCAAAATAACACCCTTGCAACCCTGCCTCACCCTCATTCCAAAACTCCCCTTCACTTCTCTCGAATACCCCTGAAACCGCTCGAATTTGGATTTGAAAAGACGAATCCTAAATCCCAAAAATCCAATCATCAAGTTTTGAAGATTTGAGGTTGAAATTGGCCTCAGTTGTGTGTTTTCGGTTGAGAATACACGATTGAAGCCCATTTCGGTCAAAAGTCGAAGGTTCGAAGTTATTTTCAAAGACAGGGTCAGAGTACTTCTTAGGTATGCCCATCGTTCTTCCACTTTCAGTCGTTTTTCTTTGTTTTTCCTTTTGTTTCGCTTAGGGTATCAGCCTGTTTCCTCTCACCTCTTCTGTGTTACTAGTCGCCCGTATTTTTTCAATTAAAATTAACAATGCATGTTTGTTTTAATATTTTGGTCAACTTTGTTCATAATTGTCAAGTTAATAGTTTGCAAAGAATCAAATGGTTTTTCTACTGTCAATTCGTTTTGTTAGGACTTGGATCAGAACTTCAGTTTTGAACGTTCATTTGGATTGGTTTAGAACCAGCTTTGGGCTCTTTGAGTCGTTTATGACCCAATTCAAAGAGGCCCGACTGTTTTGAGCCCAGGTTCTATTTGATTGACTAAGGGTAAATTCAGGGCACTTGGGGGGTGTTTTTGGAAGTTCAGGTTAGGGAATCTCCAGTGCAACTGAAATAGGAAGTTTCTAGTAGGGATTTCTAGCCAATTTCAGGCTTTTGAGTAGTTTAACTTGGCAAGCAAGTCAGAATTTTAGGGATTAGGTAGCAAAAATAAGAATTGAAAAGGGACTAAGGGGGTAAAGACTAATTTGTCTAGGCTGCCCTATTTGCTTGCCTATAAAGGCATATCATTCTTGCCTCTCAAGGCAAGGATTGAAGAGCTGGAATACCCAAAAAAGATTTTGAGAGAGAGATTTTAGATATTTTCAAGAGAAAAAGTCCATAAAATACAAAAGGGCAGAAAATTTCTACTATTCGATTGCATTGTCAGTGATTTTCGGAATCTGTCAATTTGCTGAAAACCATAGTGTTTTAATAATGGGATTTGAGATGAGTTGATATTGGTTTTGGAAAGTTTTTGGGTCAAGCTTTGTTGAAGTTTACTGTTCCATTAGATTTGGAACTGATTTTTGTGGTTTCAATTGCTCAATCTGGGTTGTGCTGTTGCTGGGGTCAATTTCTGCTGTTACTCTGCTGTTCCCTCACTGTTTCCTTTTCTGTTTCAATCTCCAGGTACACAGCCTTGATTTTAAGCATGTAAGTCATGGTTCATGAAGTGTTTTTTTTTCGAAGGAAATGAAGATTGTGTTATCAAATGTTCTCTATTCTTATCTCCTTTCGCAGTGTGTTTTGAGTCTCATATTGATACTGTAATAGGATTATTATGTAGTGTGTGCTGATTTGCGTTTGTTTAAATTCCTAGGTTCTATTGTTATTAGAAATGACCATCACTTTTAATATCCATAAATGTTGTTTTAAAATTTAAATTGTTAGAATGTTCTGTTAATCACAATACTACTATAATCAAATTTGAGCATGTGTTGAGAAGTTGATGTCGTCCAGCTTTGTCTTCTTTTGTTGGTCGTTTGAAATGGCTAAGGGTGAAAAGGTGCTTCGACTTGTAGAGTGTCAATGATTGTGGGTTGATTTGGGAGGGTTGTAAAATCAAGCATGTGTATTTATAATTTAGAATGGGAATCTGAATAAGATCTAGAATTGTAGCTTATTCTATTTGAGTAAGGATCAGCTATCTATGCTTATTTAACTGGTTTCAAAATAGTCCCTCAAAGTCAGGGGTGTTTTGAATATGAAGTGTTTGAATGTTCATATTGTCTTGTGTCTCTATTAAATTAGGCCATTATCGGTTATGTCAATGATTACTATATAAATAGATCTTGTAGAATTTGGTTACCGTTGTAGCCCTTCTTCTCACGTTTGAATTGGGCCCTCTATTGGGGTTTACTGTCAAGTCGTTTAATAGTCAGTAGGTCAGTAACACTCACAATAAT